TTAGAAGCGCATTTTTTTAGAAATAGGGTTTTAGTTTTTTTATTAGGGGAACTCGCCACGATTTTTGTCGTATGCCTATGTATCCTCTTAGGAGGAAACATAGTCTCAATTCGTAGTTTGCGGTTGGTTGGTGTTTTTTATGGATTACGAAGATATTTGAATTCCCCTTGTACTTAGTCTAGGTGTGTGAATAGTGGAGTTTGTTGGACGAAGCGCGCAGTCGATTAAAATATATTCGTAATACTTTTTTGAAAATTGTTTTTTGAGTTTAATTTATTATGAAAATGAGGTTTATTGTTGGTTAAATATTTTTTAGTGTATTAATTATAAAAATATCTTATTAATGCATGATGAAAAAATAAATTTGATGCAATAAAATTAATAAATATTTGGATGCATTTTTAGAAAAAAAATAATATTTGATTTTATGATAATAATAATTAATATAATATTATAATTATAAAAATAGAAAATATAAAATACAAAAAGATTTTTTTTTTTAAAACGCAAGGGGTGTGAACTATGTTAGGCTAGTAAAATAGGGGATATAAATAGTAGGGCCCTGAATTCTGATATTGAATTCAGACCCAACGTATGGGAGTGTATGTTTGAATAGGTTAGTAAATCTGGGGTGTGCAGGGGGTGAGGGCCCAAGTCCAGATATTAGACTTGGCCCATAAGGCTCGGGGTGCGAGTTTGAGCGCGTTAGTAAGACAAAGGCAGGAGGGGGTTGGCTTTAGAAATGGGCCAGGCCCAAAGGGTTTGGGAGTCCGCTTGGACTTCATGCGGGTGGGAGTAATGTAATGCAGTGGGCACGTATTTTTGGATGTTTGATGGTGATCGTGTGGTTGTGATTGAAAGTGTATGGCAAGGCATGATGCACCAGATCATTAAACATACGATATTCTTGTTTTACAAAACATTTTCATTTTTCGTTATGTCTCTCTTCCTCTGACTCTCGTTCCTCTCTTCTATCCAACAACACCGAAACCTTAGCGCAGAACAACCTAAGTCATCGTCGTCCCACAAACCTTAACCGACGGCGATTTTTCATAATTCTAACCCTAAATCCATCCCTAATCCCCAAATCCCTCAACAATTCAACAAGACACAAATCAAAATCGCAAAAGCTAAGTGAGATGAGAGATACCTCTATCGTGGTGATTTATGTTTGTTTTCGATCCTTCGATTTGATCTCTCTTTGCTAATTCCTTCCTCTTTCTGTTTGCAGGTGATGACGATGGTAATGATGGAAGCGGCGGAGGTGTAGTGGAGAAAAACTAGGGTTTCAGATGTTAAAACCCTAAGTTGGGGCGGCGATGAACACAGATTTTCAACGGCGGTGATGGAAGCAGGCTCTCTTTGTTCTTCTTCTTTTTTTAATTTATCTTTGTACAATTTTTTCCTCTCAATTTTTATTCCTCCTCTCTTCTGTTTTGATCTTAGGTATTTATACTATTTTGATTTATATTAATTAGGAAAGTTTTTGTAAATTTTCGTTACTTAGAGTAATAGCAGAAATTAGGGATTTGTATAAAAAAATTTATTCTGTTGTAATTTATAATTTTGATTTGATCCTATATAATGCGTGTTGTATTTATTTGTTAAGATTTGATTCAATTTCTGTATTGATTTTGTTCTGTTTGCTTTCTGGATAATTTAATATATGAAGATTTATTTTGAATGATTTTGTTATGTATTAAGTTGTAAAGATTGGATTTGATTTTGTTTATGATTTGAACAATGATTGTTTTTTGCAATGAACATGCGTTTCTATTTCCTAATCTGAACAGTGAATGTTTTTTGCAATGAAACGTCTTTTTGTCTGATTTGGACTGTAACCGCTTGGGTTTCGGGCATGTGATTAGTAAAGGCCTTTTTTGTTTCAAATCTGACTTTAACAGTCAACGTTTTTTTCAATTAATGAACAAATATACTTTTAATTAAGTTTGTAATAGTAACGCTTAATAACAATAATACTATTATAATTAAAAACAATCTTCTAAAATAAACCAAAAAACTGATCGGGCCACATTGCTTAATTATTGGGCCTTCAAAAAAATGAATTGCTCATACACCCTTTCAAACTTATCTAAAACCTAAATAGGCCATTCTGATTTAGAAATGGCCCAAGATTTCCTCAATAGCGTGAACCCCCCCCCCCCCCCATCAACATTCGAAATGGGTTGGAATTTTTACATGGGCCTTTATGATTTAAAAAGGTCCAAAAATTCTTAATGAGATATATTCCTCAAGATTTGAAATGGGTTGGAAGCGAAACAAAACCTTACTCAAAAGGCAATGGGCTTTTCTGATTTAGAAAGGCCCATTAATTTCTTCATGAAATAAAAATAAAAAAACTTTTTTTTAATTTTAAACCCCATGAATATGTGAATAATATATCATAAAGAAAAATAATTTTTAGAAATAGAAATAAAAATATTAGGAACTAGTAGGGAAAATTTGGGGTATGACATAGTCTTGTAGGATAACTCACCTACCTTCTTGGTCTTCAAGTAAAGAAAATGGGAGACATCATCTTTGTATATCAAATCAAGTATGCTAAGAGTATAGTGAAGAATTTTAGGCTTGAAAAGATAAGTCACAAGAGAACTCCTACTTTAACACATGTGAAATTAATCAAAGATGGTAATGGTGTTTATGTAGATCAAATTTTATACAATAAGTGTAATTATGTCTCACTATATCTAATGGCTTGGGATGAAACATATGTTAAAAGAGTACAATGTCGAACAAGATGTCATGACATTATACTGCAAAATTTAAGTGCTATTAATACTTCAAAGAATCTTGTTCATCACAGTCAAACCAAGTGTAAGTACGAAGTGCGCCTAAGAGGGGGGTGAATTAGGTACTTTAAAAAATTCTGGTTTTAGTGATGATGGATATTATTTTTCTGGATTAGTGCATGACTTTACAATTGTGTTTCTTTCTTTTCTGGTTTATGACTAGTGATGAAAGCGGTAAATGCAGAACATTAAAGAACACAAAGATGTATCCTGGTTCCCCTCACAGTCCGAGAGTACTCCAGTCCCCTTTCAACATGAAAGAGATTTCCTTATTGTTAGATCTCTAGACAAGACACCCTAGTCCTTCTATACAAGACTCTAACCAATAAAACCACCATGAACAATCCTCTTGGACCAAGAACAATCCTCTTGGATTTTCACTATGTCAACAATGAGAACAATCCTCTCAAAGTGACTACACTTGTATCCAACAATCCTGGAAAGACAACATTTAAAAACCACTTAAACTTATTTCCAACAATCCTGGAAAAATAAGTAAGTAACTATCAATATTTGAGTTTGAGTGAGTTGAGTAGTATTGATCACTTAGAGTGATTTAACAATGAATGATCTTCTCTTCCAATAATAATATTGTACAATAACTCAAGATATAATTGCTCAAAGTTTTCTGTTTAACAATGTATGAAAGTGTGCAGAAAACTTATGTATGAAAGTGAAGAATTGCTTGAGTTTGTATTTTGAAAATTAAGAAAATATATTTGGAAGAGGTATTGAAAATGATTTTGAAAATGAATATTTATATGTTCATAACACCCTTTTGAAACATCATGAAGTTCTGAAAATGAATCATGAACAAATGCCAAGATTGAGTGAAAGGTTTCAATGAAAAGGTATTATGAACAGGCATGTGAAAAGCTGCTGTTTTTCAAAATCGTGCAGCATGCAATCCATTGCACCCTTTGTGTAAATCGATTGCACGGGGTTTCAACAGCTATATTTTCAAAAGTTTTAAGTGTGCAACCGATTGCACAAGCAATGTAAATCGATTGCATGTGAAGTCAGTAGAAAAAAGTAAGTGAGTGCAATCGATTGCACAAGCAATGTAAATCGATTGCACTGAGAAACAGAAGCAAACATTTTGAAAATTTTAAGTATGCAATCAATTGCACAAGCAATATAACTCGATTTCACAGAGAAACAGAAGCAAAAGATCTAAAAAATTGAAGCATGCAATCGATTGCACTAATATGCAAATCGATTGCACTTAAGTGAAAAATGAATTTTAACTTTGAAAAACTTGAGTAATGATTTATAAAACATTTCTTATTCATCATTGAGCATCTATATCTTAAGACCAAAGTAAGTAATATCATTATACCTTGAAGGTTGTTGAGAGCTTTGAACTGAAGATTTTGTCCATAGATGCTTTGAGCTTGATCATAAATCTTTGCCTTCTTTGTCAATCATGGGTTGTCTTCATCAAAACAAAAGTTCATTTGAGAAGCTTGATTTTACACCAATCACATTGATATTGAACATCATTTAATCAGAGGGCTAACATCATTTAGCCTTGAGTATGTAGTAACTAAAAATCAACTAGCTAACATCTTCACTAAAGTTGTAGATGCAACTCAGTTTGAAAAGTTAAGAGGCACTCTTGGTATTTACATGTATGCGAACTTATAACAAATAATTCAAAGGAGTTGTGCAAAAGGAAATTTTCTCTCTCTTGTGATCATTGATGCATGTAAGATAAGGCACATCATTTATATTTTAGTTCATTTTTTAAACTTCTACTTTATTACACCCCTAAAGTTTTGTATATCTCTCTATTGTTCCCTCTCTCTCTCTCTCTCTCTCTCTCTCTCTCTCTCTCTCTCTCTCTCTCTCTCTCTCTCTCTCTCTATATATATATATATATATATATATATATATATATATATATATATATATATATATATATATATATATATATATATATATATATATATATATATATATATATATATATATATATATATATATATAAAGTTCTTCATCTCACATAAAAATGAGTAAAAAATTTAAAGAAACTAAGTCCTCTTAACCCAACACTGTTACTAATGCTTATGGGGTCAAGATGCTAAAAGTCAAAATGGGGGAAAAGTAACAAATAAGAAATCTAGGGCTTTTGGGTCAAGTAGAAAGTATGATGAATAATATGTGTTACATGATGTTATACCTCTTCAAATGATTGTACATATTGATATATCAAAGACAAGAACTAAGAATTCAGACTCCAAGAAGAATACGACATTTGAAAAGGTAAGCTCCTCTGACAAAGACACATATGTGCATGAACATATTAATAAGCTTATTTATTATATGTCTAATGATAATGATACAACCCCTGCATTTTTTTGTAACTATATTAATCCACATGTTGAACCATTTGGTCAAGCATATGTTAAACCATATGCTGAAACCACTACTGATCCACAAGATGAACCACATGTTGAACAATCTGGTGAGCCAACAACTGATATACCTATTTTTTATATGTATTTAACTAATATTTTGAATGAAAGTGATGATTATACTGAAGAGTTGAGGGATGAGTACCCTCAAATGTAGATCATGAAGTTCAAGGTGAAAGGAATGTAGATGTTGATGAGGATGGTGACATTCCTATTGCAAACATTATGAAGAGAATAATTGAGAGTGTAACCAAGTCTTAAGACAAGGATACTTAAGAAAAGGATAATAAGTGGTGGATATGGATGAAGAGACTGAACATGATGAAGAACCTATAGCTAGGTCTATTGCTAATATGGTAAAAGAGAAGAAGGAAAAAGATGTAGTTCATAAATTCCCCATGAAGGATATTATGAATGAGAAGAACAAAACTCCTAAAGGAAATTTTGTGACATAGAGAAGAAAGGTAAAAAGTAAAGTTATTAAGAAGAATTTTCTAAAGAGAAAACTTGTTCCATTAAGTGACTCTGAGACAAATGCTAAATAAGATATCTAGGACATTGTGTCCACAGTAAGAAGAAATATTTGAGGGAAGAGAAGTCCTATGAATATCCTTCTGCACCCTTGGATAATGTTTCTTTTCACTCTGAATAAAGTGTTTAGAAGTGGAAATATGTTTTCCAGAGAAGAATTTCTCATGAAAAATATCTTAGTAAATAATATCTTGAATATAAAGACATTATAAAGTTACTGAAAGTTGATGGGTTGATGAAAATTGTGACTGGTGTTTGTCCTTGTTATGAAAAGCTAGTCATGGAATTTATTATGAACATTACAGGTGAGAGTAATTTTGATGGAAGCAAGGAGTATGGAAAGGTGTATGTAAGAGTAAAATGTGTGAATTTGTCACCCTCCATTATTAATGAGTATTTGGGTCGGATAAAGTTTGCATTGGTTAGATAAGGTTCCCACTATTGACAAGATTGCTAAAGAGATAACTGGTGGGAAAGTGAAGCAATGGCCTGAGAAAGGGTGACTCTCTACTGGAAGATTGAGTGTAAAGTATGCCATTCTGAATAGGATTATAGAAGCCAACTGGGCACCCACAAATCACAGTTCAAGTATAAACTCTGCATTGGCTAATCTTATCTTCCAAATAAGCACAAAGGCAAAGTTGAATTTTGAAGATCATGTGTTTGAGAAAACTATGAAACATGTTGACTCCTTTGCTATGAATTTACCCGCATTTCCTTGTTTATTACCCAGAATAATCTTGAATCAACATCCTAAGATTATGCATCTAAAATAAGCTCCTAACAAAAAGCCAGGGCCACTAACTCTTGACCATAGACTGTTTGTTGGAATACATGTTCTAGACATGTGGTACCAAATCACCAAGAGAAATATTCTACCTTATCCAAATATACCAAAAAGGATGTGTTACTTAAGCTCGTGGAAGTCTTAAAATCTCTTCAATAAACACTTACTATAAGTACCATCAGGAAGAAGAATGTGGATAATTTGACTAAAATGATAACCAAGGAACAAGAATCTGAGGAAGAGGAAGAAGTTGACAGTGAGGAAGTAGAAGAAACTACAAGTGAAGTAAAGGAGAACAACTCTGAAGACTGAGGTCCTTTGGTAGGAATTATGGCTGGCTTCTGTTGAGTGCAACAATTTATATTTGTTGTTTTGATTAAGTTATTTTTTACCCTTGTATATAGGCATGTTATATTTTACTTTAATGGTTCTGTATTGGCTCCTTAACATTGACCATGGTTCCGCATTATGCCATTGATTCCAGTTTTTTCAAATTTGGCTTGGGAGTGTTACTCAAATTTTTTTATGTTTATACCTTTGCCAAATTATGGAAAAAAAAAGGGGAGTGGTGATGTTGTGTGCATAGATGTGTGCATACTTTCTCATTTGTCATCTTTTACTGTGTAACAACCACAACCTTGCATGTTTCCTGAGTTTTATATGTGATACTTCTAATTTTGTGTATTTTTAAGGTGATATGCTACTTTTGTGCTCATTATTGTGAATTTTTATGAAGATTTACTCTTGCACATCTTGTAATTATTATAAGTTGTTTTGGCCAAAATTTCTTAAAGGGGGGAGATTATTGTTCCTTTGATATGTTGTTTTAGGTAAAACAACATGAGCAACAAAATGTTATTTGTGAAGAGGTATCATGTAGGAAAAGATATTCCAACATGTGTGCATCATTTGACCTCAGTCTATATGCTATGGGTTGTGAGTAAATTTATGTATCATTATGTTTATCTCCAAGGAGATTTGTTGCTGTATATTTTAGCAATTTGTTATTCAGTTAGAATTGCTATAAAACTTCCATGATCAAATAAAATTAAATTAGATTTAATTTACAAACAAACCATATCTCTTGGTGTTTATTTTTTAAAAGCATGTCAAATTTACTTTTCATCAAAATTAAATATGTTGTTACCAATTCAAATGCCCATTGGAGAAATGCCCGACAGATGAATTGTTATATAAGGACTCATTCCTAACCTTGAAGATATGAGCAAGAGTTGAATATCTAGTGTGTTATGGTTTGTTCTTTGAGTCTTTGTTCTTGCTGTTATGTGTGCACCTCTATAGCACATAAGTTTCATATTAAAGGCATAAAGGTTGTTGTAATAGTTGAGTTGTAATCTAATAACCCTTAAACTTGTTTTATGTAATGATCACTGGGGTAGTGATTGAGAGAAAGTGAGAGGGATTATCATATTTAAGGAGAGTCCTAAATAGAAAGTCACTGGTAGTATTAGGTAAGAGGCATTGAACGAGGTTTGTTCATCTAAGACTATTGTACTAATATTATTGAGTATGGATTTCCTTTCTTTAGTTGGAAACCCCTCACACATATGTGACATTGCACCAATATGGTTTAACAATCCTTTATGTTCTTTATTGTTTGTGATTTATTATATACTATTTGTCGATCTGTTATTAGCACGTTGTACACATTGTCCCAGACATTGTGTCCAACCTCTGTCCTACGAAGAACAGAATTTCAATCTTTTTCTCTTTGAATATTTTTTTCAAGAAAATTTTTTCTCAAATAGTTATACCAAGCTCGCAGGTTTGTTTTAAACAGTAGAGATTCTTTTTTCAATTTAAAGACACGATTAGGAGAAGATAAATTTTGAAACTCCATAGGTTGATCGACATACGCTTCCTCTTGAGTTTAATCGTTCAAGAACATGCTCTTTACACCCATTTGAAAGAGTTTAAAGTTTAAAATTTAAAATTGCATAAAAAAGTTAAAAACATTCATATGGCTTCTAATCTAGCTACATGAGAATAACTTTCATTGAAATCTACGCCTTCATGTTGATTACACCCTTTCGTAACAAACCTTGATTTATTTCTTAAAACAATGTGATTCTCATCTAGTTTTTTATGAAATACTCATGTGTTCTCAATCACTAAATTAGTCTTAGGTCTGGGAACAAGTTCTCACACATTGTTTCTATCAAATTTATTTAACCCTTCTTTCATAGAAAGAGACAAATGTTCATCAGTGAGAGCTTCATTAACATCATTTGGCTCAATTTGAAAAACAAAAGTCATAAAATTATAAACTTAGTTAAGAGAGTGTCGAGTGGTTACCACATTAGAAATGTCTCCTATGATGTTCTAGATTTGATGATATCTTGTTGTTCTCCAATACTTGGGTATATCTTGATTTTCTTAAGTTATTTTTTTTACTTCGCAATTATTTTTATCTTTTGATTGATATTTATGCTTACTTTTATCTTTTTCTTGATTTTCATCTTGATCTTGGTCTACTAAGAGAGTTTTCTCAAAAATATCTCCATACTCAAACATTTATATCCCTAGCAACTTGAGGCTAGTTTCATCAAAGATATTTTGGACTAATTCTTAAATAGTTAGATTTCATTTGTTAAATATTCTAAAAGCTTTATTATAAGTGTAATATCCTAAGAATAGACATTCATCAGCTTTAGGGTCGAATTGTAAAGATTATCATTCTTGTTATTAAAGACAAAGCACTTGCATTTGAAAACATGAAGGTGATAAATATGTGGGCTTCCTTCCTATGTATAATTCATTGGAAGCCAACTTTAGAATTGGTCTTATTAAGGTGGGATTTGTCACATAGCAAGTATTGTTTACTACATCAGGCCAAAAATACTTTAAAAGGTTGGTCTCATTGAGCATCATCCTTGCTAGTTTTTCAAGAGATTTATTTCTTCGATCCATTACCCATTTTGTTCGGGGGTTCTATGAGCAGAGAAAATATGCCTTATGTCATGCTCATTACAAAAGTCCTTGAATTCCACATTTTGAAATTCATCTCCGTGATTACTTTAGATAGATATAATGCTTAAGCCTTTTTCGTTTTTTTTAATAACTTTAGCTAATTTACAAAAGACAATGAACACGTCTTTTTTATGAGATAATAAAAGAATTCGTGGATAACGGGAATAGTCATCCACTACTAAAAAGCCGTAGTAATTCCCACCAAAATCCATGATTCTGAATGGGGCAAAAAGATCCATATAAAAGAGTTGTAAAGACCTATTTGTAAAAATATTGATTATTTTTATTTAAACGAATTCTTTGCTTGTTTACCTTTTTTTCACGCATCACACGACTTATTATTTTTAAAACACAAGTTTGAAAAACCAATTACTAAATTCTCGCAGGCTAATTTTTTTCAAATGGTTCATGTGTATATGGGTTATTTTCCTATGTCATAGCCACAATTTGTTCTCTTTATGTTGTAGGTATTTTGACTTCTTAAACTAGTAAAAAGAGTTGGATTGTTTTTTAGTTTTTACCACCTTTCATACAGACAAATAAAAATCATATTATCACATTTGTCACATAACTAGCTTATATGCAAATTATGTTTGAAACCTTTAACTAAAAGCACAACCCTGTCATTGGATTGAGAAACTTATCACATCATCATATGAAAGAAATTGTTGCCGAGTTATGTTTCCTTCCTTTATTATTATCATCGTATGAAACATATCGTCATTTTATTAATATCATTTTATAATAGTAAAAGAGAAAAATGTGTTCTACCTTATCGTTAAGATACTATTTAATGTTTAATGTTGGAGAGTATAAAAATTCCATGAAATATGTGTTAGTGAAAAATA